CTCAAAGTCTTCTCCTCTTGCTTCTCCTCTTACACCTCAACTTTCCTATCGCCTTTTCCCCCTTCTATCTCCCCTGTCGCAACTATAAAACCCGCAAGCGCGTCCACAAATCTCTCTTACGTTCTCGACTCCTAAGCCAGCTTCCGGGAAGCAGTGGCTAGGCACAGTGGATTGATGCGAGTCGGAAAGTCCTGTCGGGCTGACGATAGGCTGGCCGGTTGCGCGCTTGATCGCCACGACGGACTGTGGGATCCGGGCGAACCGTGTCGAGTTTACGACAGCGGGGTGACGATCGCAGTGATGGGAGTTAGCACGCGGCGGCCGGGATCGTCGGTGCGGGTATGAGGATCGATGATTGGAGTTGAGTGAGTGATTGGCCCAGGGCCATATTGGAATTAACGGCGAATGCGCCTTTGTTGTTGCGGATCTTTATCTTTGGCGTGAGTGCATGGCGGTCATGTCGAATGTCTCTCTTCCAGATCTGGTCATCACCTATCTCGACTCTCTCTCTCTCTCTCTCTCCCCCCCCCCCCCTCTCTTTTCTTTACTTTTGAATAATGATGTGTCTCGATTGATTGTCTCTCTCTTTCTCTCCTGAGTAGGAGCGAATCGGTGCGCTTCCCTTGCGTAAAAGAAACTTCTTCCGGAACTCTTCCATTAGTTTCCTGGGTAATCCTCCTACGCAAGGACCCCGCCTTCTTGTCTTGTGAACGGTGGATGCGTGTGTACTGTGCAATGCGATCCATCTTCTCCGGTGCATATCTCATTTTCGCACCTTCCACAGTGAATGCATGTATGGAAATGTGTGACTCTTTTTTATAAGACGATTGTCGTCGGGATTTTGTTTGAGAATGCAAGAGTGTTTAAATCTGTAGTTCCGAATGCACTGCGCATGCCATCTGCCTTATGCTGCACGACATCAGCAGCCAAGCCACCAGGCGGCCTTGAGAGGCTAGGCGCCGGGGACCAACGTTGTATTGAACTAAGTCGCGGGTCGGTCCCTTAACCATATGCCGGATCAAGCTGATGCGTGTGTTTGCTCTCTCTCTCGTGTCAAGAAGGATTGATTGAGGGTTGCGCGAATGATTTCTGTCTTTAATGACGTCTCGGGATATTTGTGATTGATTGATATGTGGACTGACAAGCATCCTTCGATTGGGCGCCAGCCTCCCGTATCTCCCATCCCAACGCGACCTTTTCCCTATAACGAGGAAAGGACACGTGTATGTGAGTGGGACGTACGAGAAGCCGTCGCACGAATCGGCGGACAATACTTCTTCCCTCCCGAAAATCGTTGTTCTGGATTCGTAGATGTGGGCTTTGTCATTATCGATACCCATTTCCCACCCTACTCGATATTGCTCCCCTTTAACGAATTGATCGTCATTCCGTGGGCGGCAGTGGCGCCTCACTGGCCTCGAACCTTGTGCACTGAGTGCCAGCGTTTCGATCGCTACGAATCGAAAGGCTTCCACTACCGAATACGGAGTGAGGAGGAGCATAAGGAAAGAGCCACTCGGCTGAGACCATCCACGTCAGACTCGGAACCAACCAGCGAACGACGACGACATCTGATACGGAAACGAGACACGCGAAGCGTGCCGGAGCCTTTCCGTTCTAAGCGACGGGCTGTAGCCCGGTGGGAAGCCCGACAGTACTTTTTGGATTGAATTTGCATCTCTCTGTTTTCGCGCCATGTCCGCGCGCGCGTTCCGCGACGCGCAAAAATAATCGACTTGCTTCATCGGACCAACACGGGGGGGTTTCAGTTCCGTCTGTGTCCCCACACTCAATTTCCAAAAATCCTTGGCACACCCCATCTTGCTGTTTTTTTGGGCCTCTTTCCGCATGCCTAACACTCCGAACGAAAGACAACACAGGGCGTGAGGTTGGTATCGGAGCCGACACGTGTCGGTTCTGATGATAGCAAGTCGAACTGGCGCGAGGTAGGAGAGACCCTCAACTAGTTCGTCGAGATCGCCCCGTAACCAGGTCTCAGTCTAGTGCGTCTGCGCCAGCAATACCAATGGTGGACGGTACTAGGGTGATCGTTAGCATCCCTGCCCCCTTCCCCTTCTTCCCCAACCATACCCATCCCGAGGCTTGGCTGAAAGCTGTCGAAGCTCAAAACTACAGCGCAACCGATCTTCCCCGTGTTCTGACCTTACTACTCCGCAATACATCGCACGACTGGTTCAGAAAGCATACATGGGTAGATTGGGAGACTTTTAAGCGTGCATTCTTGGCTCGATTCGACACGGTTAGCGAAGATGCCGCCTGGTACGTACTCAAAAATCGACCCCAAGGACCAGGGGAACTGTTACCCGATTTCGTTAATCGATTTCAAACCACATTGGATAAATCCGGGCGAGACGAGAAATCCGCTCGAGATCTGTTTATTGATCACCTTCGAAGTCCGACCTTGAAAGGGAAACTGCAGAAAAAGGTTCCGCCGAAAACAACCCAGTTAGCGGCTATCATCACTAAAGCGTTGGAGCTTGACTTGGCTGATACAAAAAAGTATATCAGCCAGGGAGACGAGGATATTACAGATACCATACGGGATGTAACGACCAAAAGGCGATCATGGCTACAGGCGGTCGAACGGTTTTATCCCCGCCCCGACCATGACCTTCCCGGCGGAATCGTCTCCGATATCCCGACTGCTTCTCCTCCCTCTCCCCCGGTGAATCAATCGATCGCAGCCGTTAGAAGCGGAACTTCATCTGAACCCGCCTCGCCGGCCGTAACCAATCTACACCTTGCCCAGATGATCCATACGGATGCTACCAAGCAGTCCGAATGGGTGAGCAACCTGATCCAAATGCAGGCCACTCATATGGAACGAATGGAACAGATAATGAGCAGGCTCATTAAGCCTAACCCAGCTCCTGCTCGGCCTGCCCCTGCATCGTTTCCGCTCTTACCTGCTCCGCCTGCTCCAGGATTTGCCCCTCAGTTTCCCCATCTAGCTAATCTGGCAGGAAAGATCGAGTGTTTTAACTGCAAACAGCCCGGGCACTTCGCCCGGGACTGTCCGCAGCCGAAACGTAATCAGCCTCCCCCTGCTGCGGCCCCCGTCGCCCTTAATCAAGGACTAGTGGCCGCTCTGATGGACCCGGACCCAGGAAGAGAACTCGTGGCATACGCCCCGGAGCAACCGTCCCCCTCGACGACAATGGCGGCAACATTAGGAGCTTCCTCCTCTGACACCGCTGACATAGTCGATCCCCTCGAGTATCTCCATCTCGCCAGAATGATCGGGGCGATCCGATCGATCCCGGATGATCTCGAGTGGGTCGATCGCGAATCCAATCCTGGACCACAATTTCGGACAGGGGATATTGATGTACTGAAAACGCTCAAGCAATTAGATATTCGCGTTCCTATCCCCGTAGGGCATCTGCTCACCATATCTGAAGCAGTGAACGATAAACTTTAACAACACTGCCAGAAAAATCAAAAGCGTTTCACCTATCAACGCATACAACGGATGTTGAAGAAGAAGGAAGAAGGTGAGGAAGTGGTATCCCCTGAGCCGGACACTAAAGAACCTGAAGCCGCACGCATAGCCGCCATCTCCTTAGCAGAAAAGGATCACTTCGTACGAGCTCGACCAGTACTATGGAAAAGTGCGGAATGTGACTGTGAAGTTTGCGGTAAGCCGTTTAATGCCCTAATTGACACAGGGTCTTCTGCAGTGGCCATATCATTGGAAACTGTTAAAAAGACGGGACGACTTGGATCCATTCTTCCTCAATCTGGCAAAGACAACTATGTCTCTGCTGATGAGGAAGCAATGAACATTGTAGGCATTATCGAGAACGTGGCGGTAAAGGTCGGGCGAGTACACGTCCTTGTTAACGCACTCGTAATAGATGTACGTTCCTACTCTGTGTTGTTGCGATTACCTTGGGCAATGGCGGTGGGCGCACGTCTGCATTTCGATTCGAAACAATTGGTGCTCACACAAACTGGGGGAAAGCCTCAGACTGTTCCTTTGCGAGTTTCCACCCGAACGATAAAACGGGTTCCTAACTCGCCCCAAATAGGGATGATCCGAGGCATTGATCCCGAGGCGTGCTCCCCCTCGCGCCTCGGGGATGGAATCAGGGAACGAGAATACGAAGAAGAGATGCCCAGTAAAGAGGAATGGAAGCATCTGGTTGAACTTTTCGAACATGAAACCCCCGAAGAATTTCGAGTGTGCCCCGACACCGCTCGAAGCTTCCACGTGGATTCTGAAGACAGTGCATTCCCGCCTCTAACAACCCAGGTGAGTCCTTCAGTCCTCCTCGGGGAACCCATATTACAAGTTTCCGATCTGGCTGATGATTTGGAACCCCTTCGCACCTTGTACGAGGGAGCTCTTTCCTTACGAACGCGTTATCAACAAAAGGAACAGTATTTGGACGTTTCTGTTTTTCCACCCCAGTCATTACTAACGATAGGAGCCACCATCGCCTTGATTAAACAAGAAGCGGAAGCACCGGTAAGTGACGTGCCGAATCTAATGCAAGAAATGACGGATCTAACGGGGCTAACTGTGGAACCGACTTCGGTTGGTTCAGAGACTGACGCTGAAACTAAAGAAACGGAGATGATCAGCCCCGCTGAGTCCCAAATGATAGCAATTGTCTTTTCTGTTCGCACCAGTAGTTCCGTTTTCTCTAGTGTCCATGAGCGGCGGGAACGGCCGGTTGATTGGATCGATATGCCCCTTAATATGTCCGGGGAATCGACGATCCCCCTCCCGAGTCACGTTCCCGCGGAACTTCTGAAGTCGTTAATCTGTGTATTGAACGGTTATGCAGAAGTGCTGAGCGTGCATGACAATGATATTGGGTTAACTAATGTAATTGAACATGCCATTCTCACGGGAGATCATCAGCCCATTAGCTGCACTCCCTACCGATACTCGCCAGCTCAACGAGCGGCCGCCTTTCAGCGGATTAAGGAGTTCGAAGCTAATGGATGGATCGAACCCGCTATAGGACCATGGTCTTTTCCTGTAGTGATAATACCCAAGAAGGCTGGGGGGATTCGCATTTGCATTGGTTATCGAAAGTTGAATGATATCACGATTAAAGATGTGTATCCCCTCCCCCGGATTGATGAGTTATTGGATGCGATTGGGAGTGCTCGATTTTTCAGCAAGTTTGATGTTCGTCATGGGTTCCATCATCTTCTTGTCTGAGAGGAAGATCGACCGAAAACAGCGTTTGTGCTTTTCGAAGGCACGTGGCAATGGATGTCCGATGGGGATTTGCAATGCACCTGCCACGTTTCAGCGAGCGATGAACTTGACATTCCAGAATTTCGTCAACAAGACACGGCTGACGCAAGGGATGATCAACTTCTGTGTGATCGTGTACATGGACGACATCCTGGTCTATTCGGAGACCTATCACGGGCACGCGCAACACATCGAGTGGACATTGGGCGCACTAAGAGATGCTGGGTTCAAGATTGCGCTCGAGAAGAGCGAATTTTTCCTCTCGGAAATTTCGTTCTTGGGCTACGTCGTGACACGTGGAGGATTGCGTCCGGACTCGAGAAAAGTTGTGGCGGTGAAGGAAGCCCCAGTTCCCACGTCACTGACGCAGGKTCGAGCCTTCTTGGGGCTGGCGTCGTACTACCGGCGCTTCATCAAGGGCTTTGCCGCGATTGCACGACCGCTAACGAATCTGTTACGGAAGGACCAGCCTCTCAGCTGGGACGCGGAGTGCCAGCAGGCCTTTGCAACCCTCAAAGACGCTCTGGCAACGGCCCCTATTTTGATTCGGCCGGACCCCTCGAAGCAGTTCATTCTCATCACAGACTGGCAACCGGAAGCTATTTCCGCTATTTTAGCACAGAAGGGGAACGGTCGCGAACACGTCATCGAGTACGCGTCTCAAACCGTACCGGACGAACGAAGAAACGACTTCACACCTCAAGGCGAGTGCTATGCGGTAGTTTGGGGAATCCAACACTTCCATCCGTATCTCTACGGACATAAGTTTCGCCTCGTAACGGATCACGAGCCTCTGCTGGCGATGAAGAAACTCACCAACTACACGGGCATGATTGGCCGTTGGGCGGTGCGACTACAAGAATACGACTTCGATATCGTCCATCGAAAGACAAAGCGGCACGGCAACGGGGACGGGCTCACACGTCTGCACCGACCTGTCAAGGTACCAAAGGGCGAGGAAATTACACCGTGGAAAGAGTCGGACTTGACCAACGAGCCGAAATACGGACAAGTGGCAGTTCTCCCACGTGGCAAGAAGCAAAACGGTGGCGATGGGTGATGGAGGTAACCCCACTACCCCTCTTTCTCCCCCTTCCTCCTCGTCTCTCCTCTCCCTGCCTGACAAATTTTGCTATTTTTGTGAAGCTATCTCCCGCGTATACGCGGTCTCCATGCGTCCTAACGGGGAAGGGTATGCGGATTGGATAGATTGCCGACAGTGTGTTGCACGAGCCCATGGCTCGTGCATCCAATACAGAAACGATAGTA